AATAGAAAGAAATGGCAACCATTTTGTGGCAACATATCCCACACACACCACACACACATGCACTAATTGGCCCACCTACCCCCGATGTTGGAAAAAAGAAGAAAATGATTATATTTTCCAATGCTTTCACCACTAAATCAAGACCTCATGTCTACCATACATGGTACTTGAACCCTGACCCCTTGAGTGACATGCCATAGGCCAGAAGTCAACACGCATCAACCGTGACCTCCAGGGGCGGCCCTCGAACCCAAAACGCTTTTTATCCCAAAAGTGAGCATTTCGAAAGCGACAAAATAATCGGCATTTTATAAGCTATTATACAATGCTCTTGGGCAGCTATGTATGACCCCTGACCTCAGAGCTCAGACCTCATAATAATAATATCCTGTCCCGTTTCCTGAAAAATGCAAATCACAGATAGAGTTAGAGAGTAAGAGAGAGAGAGAGGAAGGGAGATGTAAATGAGCTCTAACCCTTGGCCTAACCCGGTGACCTCACCACACACACACACACACCCAACCCCCTGGCCAAAACCGGAATTCCCTCCCCACACATGTGGCAAATCTTTGCCTAAAACACTTAGCCAGAGACATGCCCCAGACGTAGATGGGGTCATAGGGGTTAGAGGGCATATGGCTTAAGGTTTATAAGGGTTGGGGGGGTTGTCCTGTCCTGTTTACTGCTAACTGGTTGGGACACCAAAAAAAAAAAAAAAACCCGTCCAACTTGACGCTCGAGAGTAAGTGATATCTCTCGACTGGTTCACTGGTTGTCCTGTCCCGTCCTGTCATGTCCTTGCCACAAAAAAAAAAAGGGTTCTCTGGTTAGAGGTCAAGGGGGTGGCAAAGCTCACACATGACGGGGTACGGGATCCTCTAACTGAATCGGATTCAGTTTCAGATTTCAGATTTCGACTTTAGACCACTTTTTTTTTCCATCTCTATTTCCATTTATTTTCACTTACTTTGTTTTGTTTTGTTTGCTTGTCAACAATGTCCTTTTCCGTTTCGAATCCTTCACACAGGACTCGTGTTCTTTCTCATGTGTGTGTATGTTTGTTGTGTCTCGTCTGTGGCCATTCGGGGTAGAAAATGATGAAAATTTCCATATTATCGAAGTTCAACAAGAGGGCGGGGACAGACAGGACTGCCGGGACATGAAGGACTGCCAGGACCAGTCAGGACATTCAGGACCATTCAGGACATTCAGAACCATTCAGACAGTGTGTGTGATAATTTGTTGATTTGGGCTGGAGCTACTTGTTGCATATCACCCTAAGGGGCTGGGGATGTCGAGTCACGGTCGCCATGCCGGACTTCAAGGGCATGCCACAAGACGTTTTTGTGTGTGTCTGCCTGTGGTGGTCGAATATCCTTGCTCCCTGACTGTCTGTCTTTCTGTCTGTCTGTGTCTGTGTGTGTGTGAGAGTGTGTTAATGTATTCATTGGAGTCCGGACTCTCCGGATGCCGGATGCCGGATGCCTGATGCCGGAAGTAGTAGTCAGCAAGCCATAAAAACTTAAGGAACAGGGAGGATATGTGTGTGTTTGTGTGTTTCGGGCATATGCTCTTGACTGGTTGACACACACACATATGAAAGTCAAGGATACACACACACACACACACACACACAGAAAGACAGCAACAGGACTCGGCTAGCTAGAAGGAAGGAGGTGTTGACTGAGGTTGCCCGACTTTTCCTTTTTCTTTTTTTTTTTTTTGGGTGCCTGGCTGGCAGGACGAAGTGAAAGTGAGTCACATGCCAGGACGACAGTGTCGACAAGGACGACTTTACTTGCCTGGTCAATTGCCATGTGTGTGTGTGGGGGCGTGGAGTGGAGTGTGGGTGTGAAACGACCTTGGCCTTACTTTTGCCTTTGTCGTGTGTGTGTGTTTGTTCGTCCTTTCTTGGTCCTTTTTTTTTTTTTTTTTTGGTTAGCTCCTGTAATTTTATGCGGATTATCACAGCTTCTCACATACACATACATACATATATCCTGGCTGGCTGGGGTGTACAGGTGCTTGTCAGACGACGTCTGCCTTTCAAGATGGCAGCTGTTTTTTTTTTCCAGCAAGGTCAAGTCTCGCCTTTTGCTTCAACTCGGTTGCCAGGCAAGGTCGTTTCTTCAGCCCCCCCTAAAACTGGGGAGGTTCCGGAAGTTAAAAAAGCAGAAAAAAGCCACCAGAGAGCCCAGTCGGCAGCAGCAACAGCACGACACAGAAGGAGGCACTTCAGCAGCCGGCATGGCGGACAGTCTGGATTTTAATTTCAATGATGCTGCTAAGGAGGGGGGATGGAGCAGAAAACACCCAAAAAAAACAACAACCTCCCCCCTAAAGAAACTCCTTCTTTACGGTGGCCACGCAACGTCCTTGAGAAGCAAGAGAAGGAGAAGGTGGTGTGTGTGTGGGTGGGTGGTTGGGTGGTTGGTGGCTTGGCTTTTCTTTCTTTTTTTTGTCTCTAGGTCATGGCACCTGTTGCAATCCATAAACCCATCGCCTTCTAATTAGTTTCCCAACTCAATACCAATGTCAATAATCATTAAGGCCATATATGGATATATGAACTCATGAGTTTGATTTTTTATTGAAAAACTTTGTTTTGTGGTCGAACATGAAAATGCAATAAATCATTGAAGGTAATAATGGCTTTACCCACATTTTGGTCTTAGTGTTAATATTATATATCTCCAACACAGTATTTGCATTTTCCACTCAACAGCTAAACTTTTCACGAAAAGATGGCCAACAAAAAAAATACCAAATGAGAAATGGCAGCATCGGCTTTTCAAACAATAGCAAAAAAAAATAAATAAAAAAAAAACTATTAAAAACTGACTTTCTACCACACATGTCTGTATATCCTTACAGGATACTCACACTCACACTCACATTTACAGTCACTCTGAGATATAACAAAGCAATACAAAGATACGGAATACAGAATACAGTAATACGTAATACGGATACAAATGCAAAAAACGAATAAAAAAAAAAACAAGAAACAATTTATAATTATTTTAATACAAAAGCGCTAAAAACAAAAAGCGACAACAAAAGCGAAAATTGCATTAACAATGCAACTCAGTCCAGGTCCCCCTCCCCCTTCTGCCCCTCCAAAATCCAATAAGTAGACAAAAAAAAATAAAAATGGGAAAAAATTATAACCCAAAACCCCAAACACATGAGAGCATAAAAAACAAAAAAAGAAAAATAATAATAAATAAAGAAGGAGTGCACGAGAAGCGAAAAAAAATACCGCGCCAAATTATATTATAATTATATTTAAAATGCTGCCGACGGGGCCGACAACAGCCACGCCCCCTTCCCGGCTTGTCTCTGTCTCTATGTGTGTGTGTGTGTCCATGCAGCGAAGTAGAAAAAAAATTACTAATAATTTTTGGTGGAAAAAAAAAGTATAGAACATGGCATAGAGTTTCAGAACAAAAAAAAAAGATACAGAATTGTGAGAGGATACTCTACAAATAATACTCTAGGAAATAATAGAAAAGCCTAGGAAATAATACTAGTATATCTGGGGAATTTTTAAGATTCAAATATATAATGCAGAGTAATTTAAATAAAATACTAATGGAAGGTTTAGCTTAAAGGGAAATTAGACTAACGTACAGTAACGGACAGTAGCGGACACATACTTAGATATTTGGGGGAATTTATTAGAATATATAGAGATATATATTTAAGGGTCTAAGTAGAACGGATATTTAGTTTAAAAAGCATTCCTAACCTCAGGAAATTTTATACAAATATATAAATTTTTACTAACGGACAGTGGCGGACAGGCGGACAGATGTAGAAATACTTAGATATTTAGAGCAATTTATTGGACTTTATAGAGATTTATCTTATGAGGTCTAATAGGCAAGGATATTCAGTTTGAAAAGCATTCCAAACTTAAGGAATAATAAATAAAAACTAACGGACAGAGGCGGACAAACGGACAGCTAGTTTCCCCTAAAAATGTGAGATATTTAGGGATCTACATATATCGATCTATTAGCGGACAGTAGCGGACAGTAGCGGACAGACGGACAAGAGAACAGATAGAAAAGCAGACAGCTAGGATAATAGAGAGATACTTATAGACCTTAATTCAGAGGTCTATTTAAGAAAAATTTCTAGTCTAAAAAGTATCTAAAACTTAAGTAATTTTAATTAATTAAGTAATAGTCTTAGTAATTAATTTTGCTATTATTGTTGGTCTAACTAACGGACACGATTTGTTGGACAAATCTCTTATAAAAACCCCAAAATCATAATCCCCTCTATAGCTAACCTACCCCAAATTACTCTCTAGAGCATAAATAGATGAAAATTAAATGAGATTTTGCGCTGAACTATGAGCTATATGAGCTACCAGGCCTGTCTTCTAACTTTTTTAATTTTTTTTTGCATAATACTATGGTAGAGATGTATAAATATATATAGTTACAACAACAATGACATTGACAACAATGGCAAGAAGTAATCGAGGGGGAAGGGAGCACTGGCGGATAACAAGCGAATACATTTTCAAGCGCTTCGGGAACACGTATCACGTATACGCCATGTATGTAACACGGTTGCCGCAGTGCAGCCAAAACAAACGTTTAGACGAATGTGTGTGTGGAGGTCCTGTTTTTTTTTCTTCTTAGGTCCTGGCCAAGTGCCAAAAACTCTGATGCTAACTATAATTTGCACTGTTTGTTTGTTTTTTTTTTAAATATATTTTTTTGTGAGGTCAGTTATGGGCCATGCCAGGCGATTATGGTTTTTTTTAAAGGATATTCTAGGGTATTCTGGCAAATCGAGTCAGTTGTATATTCGTGCCAGTTTGTTGGCTTAATTTCAGGCGTACTATTTATTTTTTTGGTATTTAGACAAAAATTCAATTGCTGCCCTAACTGACTTTGGCATAGACAATATGGATGAATGGCGGATGGGCCGATTTCCACATGAATTTATTACAAATGCAATTTGTTTCATTTCCCTTACAGGCATATCTACCAAACACTAAAAATATTGCGAAAATATGGCCAGAATTTTGAGGAATTTTAAAAGTTACTATAAAGGTAAGTGAAATTTTGTATCTAAAATCTTAGAGAAATCTTAGAGATAAGAAAATGCGCGTATCTAGCCTTTGACCTTTAGAGTTAAAGCTTTATTTCTTTTATCTTTTTTTTTTGGCAAATATTTGATATATATTTTCTAGCAACTGATAAGGTCTAGCCTTGACCTTGCTTTAAAAAAAAAATCTTGAATTTCTGTATCCATAATTCTGGTACTTTTGGGTCTAAAATGCGGGGGGAGAGAAAAAAAAAAACAGAAACGTAAATAAAATAAATATAAACGACAGGGCCAGGATTCAGTTGCTCCAGCTGCTCCTTGTGCGAGTCCTTTTTCGGCGCAACCGTTCAATCAACACCCCATTTGACTAACAACAACAACAACAACAACGCGAAAAAAGGGGGGGTCCCACACACACATATACACACAACACCCACACTCACACAAACACTATTCTAACATTTCGCGGAGCTATAAAAATATTTTTGAACATTTTCTTTCTTTCTCTCACTCTCTCCTCTACCCATCTCTTTCGTTTGGCCCTAAACCCATCTCTTTCTCTCTTTCTCTAAGGCAGTGTCTTTGTAGAAGAAAACTGTTAGAGCTGCGAAAGTTTGGCGTCTGTTTGTCTTCAGAAAGGCAGAGAATTTATTTTCATTTTTTTTTTTTTCATTTTTTTGGGGGCTAGAACCCAACAACGTAATGAGCTGTTAGTGCCATCTTACTCTAACACCAAAAAAAAAAATAAATATATACACATAGCGATACAAAAAAAAATAAAGATGAAGAAGAAGAAGGCAACAAAAAATAATAATAATAATGAAAAGTTTTATGCATAGAAAGAGCAAGGGCAGGCCAGAGAGAAAAAAAAAGAATATAATTTTTTGGGTAAAGAGGAAGGGCAATGTATTTGAAACTAAACTGCAAAAATAGAAGAAACTTGGAGAAGAGGAGCTGCACATTAACCATCATCCTCCTCCGCCACCTAGAACCCACTACCCTCCCTTTTATCTGGGCACCCCTCTCGTGATTTACCCAAAAACTCAACATAAAGAAAGTTGTAACTATGAAAATTTTATAAATTCCGCAGATTTTCTGGCGCTAAGAAATGGAGATGGAGATGATGGTGGGCTAGGAGGGTCTTCGGTTTAGTCCGCGGTTCTATGGTCGTTTGGGGCAACCTGCTGATGAGGAGCAGGGGCCGCAGCCGACTGCCTTTGATAATGTGAGCGTTGGCATTTCAGTTTGCTCTTCTTGCCACTTCTTGGTGCCTCATAGTTGCTAAACTTTTGCACCATGCAGACATGGCAGGGGCCTAGTGGCAAGATAGAGTGGAATGGTAGTTGGAGGCCAGTAGATGGGCCACTCGAGAGGCGTTGCTTTGATGGGATTGCCGCACAAGTCGTAATACTTAGCAACAGAGTAAGTGTTTCACTTTGGTGGCGGGGGAGGAGCGGTGAACAGGACGAATATTGAAGGATATTAGTTTAGTTTTTCGACAAACTAAGAAATTGATTAAAAAAAGCATGCTTTTAATTAGCCTTTGATTTGGTTTCGAAGGCAAATATTGAAGATTGGGGTCTCTAGGAAGAATATTTCGGAACTAAACCGAGAAAGCATTGGGGATATGTGATATCCGGTACTTTCAATAGCCAATCAATGTGAAAGCATGATTTTCTAAAGAAACTCATCTAAAAAGCATGCTTTTTCAAACAAATTTTTCTAAAAAGCATGCTTTTGATTTGGTTTTGAAGAGAAATATTAAAGATTAGAGCCTTTAAGAAGAATATTAGGGCACTAAGCCGAAAAAAGCATGTGTGGTAGACGATATCCGGTACTTAATACACAAAATTATCAAAAAACCATGCTTTTTTTAAAAAAATAGCTCAAAAAGCATGCTTTTTCCAACAAAAATAGTTAAAAAAGCATGCTTCTTCAAAAAATAATTCAAAAAGCATGCTTTTTCCAAGAAATAGCTCAAAAGACTTTGGCTGTTTCAACAAATAGACCGATAAAGCATGCTTTTCCCAAGAAATAGCTCAAAAAGCATGCCTTTTCCAAACAATAGCCCAAAAAAGTATGCTTTTTTCTACATATTTCTCTAGAAAGCATGCTTTTTATTAGCTTCACTTTGAAAAAATAGATAATATTAAAGATTGGGTCCAATAATGAAGTACTTTGGGCTTTTAACTCAGGAAGCATATGTGGTATATGGCAACAAGTACTTCCAATAGCAATATTGCTTAAAAAAGCATGCTTTTTCATTGGTAGGCCCAAGAATAATGGGATATCGTTCTTAAATCCAAAGAGAATACGTGTAAAAGGCATAGATGGTTAGTTCCTTTTCATAAATAGTTTTAAAAGGCATGCTTTTTAGAGAATATTGAAAAATTGGTCCTAAACCTTAAATTAAAAAAAGCATGCTTTTTCTAAGCATTTATAGTGGAAACAAAGCAAATATTGAATGTTAGCTCCAATAATAAAGTTATTTGGTATAAAACCGTTGCTTTCAATAACTAAATTTTTTTAAAAAGCATGCTTTTTATTAATAATGAGCAATTTTAGACACCTAAGTTATAAATTCAAAAAAGCATGCTTTTTGGCAGCTTTTATAGTGCCAATTTTGAATCTTAACACCAATAATAAAGTATTTTGGATAACACCACGGCTTTTCTAGCGAAATTCATTAAAAAAGCATGCTTTTTCTTAGTTTTCTAGAGAAAAACTTGTAAAAATAATTTAAAATTTGCCAAGAATTATTAAATTCAATAGCCAAACCCTAAACAACACAGATCTGCAAAATTTTGCTATAAAATTGGCTCATTTGATTGAAATAAATTGTGAAAATATTTAAAGGCAAATAAAGGGAAGGCCGGAGGAGAAGAAATCCATAAAGGATGAGGCTGAGCCTGATGTTTGGACTGCGGTTGTGTGGCGCGGGCGGAGGAGTAAACAACAAAATTCATTCAAATTCAATGAAAGTTAATAAGGATGTCTGATGGGAGACCCTCCCAGAATCTTGTCTGAGGCTGGTATCCTGGCTGGGAAAAAAAAACTCCGGACCAGCCGATTGAATTATTTAATAAATTAATTGCGCAAATTAAGTTCGAGACCCGACCACGCCCACCACATCCCAATTTACTTTTTGCGGCTGTGATAAAGTAATTAAGAAGTTCCGTTTTCTATCTTAAGGATACAAGTGTATCTCTAGATGCATTTCCCTTAAGAATCGTAATTTAGAAATTGTTGGGGTTGCAAAAATAGAATGGAACTTTCCAGCTAAGTACTTCTTATATTTTACCCTCTTTTCAAATACCAATTTGAAGGATAATAATAATAAAAAAAAAAGAGGAAAAAATAGAAAGAAGCAATCATCGATCGATAATTTTTAATGTAGTCGTATTTCTTTTTAAGCACTTGCTGTTGTACCTTTTTGGCTGCCTGTCGTTTCAAGTTTTTTAGCTCCCCAACCTTTCAATATATACATATATTTATATATATTTTTTTTTTTAGAGAGCCCCAAAGCCCCCAGACCCCAAGTCCTTCATCTAAAACCCTGTTCAACCCATCTCTCTCTCTATACTTTTCGGTTCACTTCAGTTGAAATTTGGCTTCGGGTTTCGGGTTCGGTTTTTCTCTGAGCTTGAGGGTTTTTTTTCTTTTTTTTTTTTTTTTTAATATTTACCCAATTCATCAAAAAATAAGTAATTATAAACTTTTCAGTTTTTCTTGCGTCTATGCTAGCTCTGTCTCTTTTCCACTCCAACCGATATACGTGTGTATGTGTGTGTGTTTCCCGTTAGGAAAACGCTTTCCCTGCCTTTCCTTTACATTTTCCTTTTCAGTTTTTTTTTTTATTTTTATTTTCAGCTTCGATGATGTCTTCCCCTTGAATCCTTGAGAGGCGGCAGTACGCCTCCAACGCCCCCTCCCCCCCCAACTCCTCCTCCCTTTTTCTTTTCATTTTTCTTATTTTTTTTTCGCTTTTCTTTTTCTGGCGCGCAAAGTAGAAAAAAATTGGAAACAACCCCGAAAAAAAAAGAAAGTTTTTGTTGTATAAGCGAAAAACTAAGCTTCTATTCAAATTCTACGCCATCGAGTGCTTCGTTTTTATTATTCATTCATTCTCCCCCTCCCCCCTCCCCCCCTCCTATCCCCTTTCTCTATATCCTTTTTTTCGTCCTTTTTTCTTTCTGGTTGTTGTTGTTGTATTTTTGGCACAAGCGAATTGAAAGCACAAGGAAAAAGTACAAAAAAAAAAAAAAGATGAAAAATGTAAAGAAAGAGGAAAGTTTCCGATTACCGTGGGGGCGGTAGAGGGTAGTAGGGGGTGGTGGCAGGGGGTGTGAGCATTGTAGGCCCAGCAAAAAGCCAAGCACTAGTCGCTATAACCCCCTTACAGGGCATGGGGGGGTGGGGGGATTGTGTACAAAAGGCAAATGCTGAGGCGGTGGGTAGAGTGTGGGTGGTGGGTGAGTAGAGTGGGTGGGTGGGTGTTTGAGTAGAGTGGGTGGCTGGCAGGAGCGATACACGCGCGTCTTTTGAGCATAAGTAGAATATAAAAATTTTGCGATTATGAATTTGAATAAAAAACGATACGAAGCCAAAAGCAAGTACTACTAGCAAGCTGGCAGTCGTCGAGACGCTGACGCTTCGCAGTCGCGGTCGCAGCCAAAGTCTCAGTCACCGTCTCAGTCGACTTTGCTGTTAACGCTTGACAATGTAGTTGTTGCTTCTGCCGCTCCTTGGTCCTGTATCCTTGGCTGGATTAGAAAGCTGTCAAGGATGGGGCAGATGGGGGAAGGCAGTCATTTTTTTTTCGCTTCCCCCGAATAGTCGCTGCCTACGCTTTTATTTGTAGTTGTAGTTGTACACTCGAAAAATCAATATATATTTTTAAGTTTGTCTAACTTTTTTGTACATAATTTCAAAAAAAAACTTTGTTACTAATCTAGTTTTAAGTTATAGTTAAGAATATTTGTAAA